CCCGCCTCAAAGCCAACGCTGATTGGACGTTCGTTTGGTGAACGGCTCCAAATTTTCTTTAACGGAGAGTCTCCAGACTGATCTGCGAGTGAAACCTTGAAAGCTCGCGAGATCAGGATGGTCTCGCGAGGCTACAGTTTTGGGGGGTTGAAATGACCATAAAAATAAAATTCATCCCTCTGCCAGTTCTCAAAACAAACTGCATCAAACCTCTGCATGTTCTTTTTTTTTATTTTATATTTTTATGAAGGGCATTGCTCCATGGGAGGGGTGGCCTAGTGGTTAGGGCATAGGGCTTGGAATCCTGTGGGTAGTTCTAAATCCACTCCCACAGACTGCCACTCTGGGTCTCTGAGAAATGACCTTTAACCCCACATTGCTCCCCGGGCGCCGCCCAATGGCAGCCCACTGCTTCCCAAGGGAATGAGTTAAATGGAGTGTTTTTTTTTTTTGTTGCTCTTTACAGTGTAATGACAATAAAACCTTTATAGGGAAAACCTTTCCCTATAAAGGGAGCTGTTAGGGCGGACTTTTATTTTTTCCCCCCCCTCCAGCGTTTTATTGTCCGTTTGGACAGATGAACACTACTTTTTACAGTGCCTGCACCATCTTCCTTTCCTTGTAGGACATTTTGAGTCCACTACTTTTATCCACTAGACATTTGGACTCTCATTTTATAGGTAGTGACCCTTCAGTGTAGGTAGGTAGTTTCATTACCTGAACCCTTTTTGTTATTTTTTTTTTTTTTAAGGAAAGAAACTGGTCCTTTGTGTGCTTTTTGCAACAAAAAGTTGAAAATCTGCTGATTTCATAAAAGGAAGGGTCATGATTTGGAGAACTACCTGGTACCAGAGCATTTAGGTCTATTGGCTCCAAAATCTAGAATATCTGCAGGAAACATCAGCTTTGTATGTTGTATAACATTTTAAACTTATTGTAAGCTGTGTTTGTAGCTGCAGGAACATGAAAATCTAAAAAAATGCACCTGAAATTTGTAGATTATTAAAATTCTTAAGAAAGGAAAAGAAATTCAGCAAAAGATTATAACTGAAAGAAGGTGCTTCTGCAAACATCAGCTTAGTGGTGAGAAAATTTCTGAAACGAGACTTTTATAACTTAGCTTGAATTATGTCATAACAGTTCATCATAAGGCCCTTATTGCATGGTAATCAGCCCTGTTCTGATATGGCAAGGTTCATTCCTGCTACTTTCCAATAATGGAAAGTAATCAGTCAAATTACAGACACTTTAGTTAAACAGTAACGTTTTATGAATAAACCTTGAGGAAGAATGTGGCTTGTTATGGGAAGAAGTATATAATGTCAACAAACACCCCTCACTCAGGCATTTTGTGGCCTTGCAGGAAAAACAGACTGAGTGAAAAACTTCAGTGAGTAAATAGCATAAATCAACATATGAAATAAAAGAAATATAAATTATCTGACCACAAATTACTTGGTAGAAGTTTTAATATGATGAAGCCGAGGCTTGTTTACTACAGCGTGTGAAAGTCAGCCCGATGCTGAATATAATAACATAAATCAGGACGCAGTTCTCAGGAATATTTTTATTTAAAACCTTTTAGATTATTTACAACAATAACGTCCACAGAGGAAGAACGTCTAAAATATCAGTCCACTTCTGTAGGTTCATTTGCATTTTCATAAATTTTAACTTAAAAATAAATGACGGGTTTCTCGATTTACACCCAAAGTGTTAATTTACAAAGCAAGAAACTATTAAAACTGAGCGTGAACATATTCCTTTAAATTACTGCAGCTTGCTGATTGTGTCATTTTATATAAACTTGATTTCCAAACTGCTTCAGTGCCTAAATCTTGACAAAACAAAGGAGAAAAAATGCCCATTGATCCTGGAGCGATTTGAAACACCATCATACAGGGCAGAGTTAAGTGGAAACTCCTTATTTACTTATCCTCCAGACGACTTATTGGAGCTTTGCATCAATGTAAAAAAAAAAAGCCCTTATATAAAAGACTAAACTAGGATCCATGTTGGGAAATCTGTCCTTTCTTCAATTAAACCAGAGACAAACTTAAATGCTTCCTAACATACAGTTCTGCTGTGTTTGGAGATAAAAAAGGTTAAAGTCACAGAGGTCATTTATAACGTTATAACTGTGGGGTTTTTTTGCTTGAAAACGGACAGATGTTCACATCAGAGAGCAGAATCCAGACTTCCACTACTCCCGCTGTTTCTGCGCTCGCTTAGATTCAGACTGTCATTGTCCTTCTTTGATGTCCTCCTGTCCTCAACCTTTCCGCCCCACTGCACCGTCTCTTTGTCTCCTGGTTTGTTCTTATCGGAGTCCCACTGCAACACAAACAGCTGATCAGCCACTGGTTTAACCCCTGAAGCCCAGTGGGCCCAGTACAGGGCCCGACTGACACCCACACTGGAAAAATGATCTAGAAATAAGTAAATATTTCTTAAATTAAGTGTATTTACCCTTAATTTGAGTAGTTAAATGAGATAGTTTGCCAATAGAATGAGAATTTTTACTCTTAAAATAAGATAAACAAATAATATGCACTTGAAATAAGACAATGTAATTGTTTTTCTTCGTATTTTAAATGTAAATTTTTTTGTTCCATTGGCAAATATCTGACTTACCACCTTAATTCAAGACAAAAAGCACTTATTTTAAGAAAAAATGACATCGAGATTTTTAATTTTTTTCCAGTGCACTCGTGTTTATCTATTTATAGAAAGGGGCAAAACACAGTCACATGGTGTTTCATCCACACGCCTTTCAAATGGGGCTTTAAAATTTCAAAAACATGTTTTAAAATGATCTTTTCACAAGTACTTTTTATTTTTATAGCAGTGGAAACAAATAAAATGAGATTTAAAGTTCCAACTGACATGTGTGACTCTGCGGGAGCAATGCAACAGCAGGTGTTCATTTTTAGCCACACCCACTAATGGCCGCCATAACTGGAAACTAAAGGCTCACACCTTTCAAAGCAGGGATCGGAGGTAATTGTACGAACACTTCAGGTGATGTAACCGGCATGCGTTACATAAGTGATATTTTGGGTAAATTTAAATGAAATAAGAGCTAAATCTTAGGAGAGAAGGCTTTGTCTTATGCAGAAGGTGTCCAATAATGTAAATCAGCCTATTTGTCTGACCAGATTTCATTTTATGAGTGGAAAAAATTACATTTCCGCCTAGAACACCGCCCACTAAAACCTTTATGGAACAAAAATGCTTCAACTTATTCAGTCCAAATCTGCTTAAGGTTTGAGATGTGGATCTATGAAGTCTGAGGGTTCATCCAGAGTTTCAAATGGGGTTTCGTGGTGTTTTGCAGTGTTTATTTTGAAAACTTTCATTTTTTCTTTGTTTAATCACCTATAAATCAGACATGGTGACATTTAAAATAGTGGTTCCATACAGAAAGCCCATATTCACTGGAAAAAATCGAAATCTAGATAAGTCATTTTTCTTAAAAAAAGAGACATTTTGCCAATGGAAAAAGACAATTTACACTTAAAATAAGAAAACAAAATTGCATTGTCTTATTTCAAGTGCATTTTATCTAATTATCTTATTTTAAGAGTAAAAACACTCATTCCATTGTTCAATTACTTCCTCAAATTAAGGGTAAATACACTTACTTTATAAAAATTTTGACTTATTTCTAGAAGGTTTTTGCAGTGTTCTTATCTTTAGCT